TGTAAAATATAACAAAATTAACTCCCAAGTTTTGCTGGAAATAACTTTTTCCTCCAGGAAATGTTAAAAAAGTTACAAGGATACAAAATGACATGTCAGTTCTTACAGTGTGCAGGTTTGTATAAAACCAAACTGCAGAAACAAAACAGAAAATAGCACAGCCACATAATGAACAGACAGATAAGTTATGGTTAATGTCTTATCTGTTATTGCCCTGAACCTTGCAGACCATCTCTGATGTCATTCAGAGCGTTGAGAGTCACAAAGTGAAAGTGAGCCCGCATGAATGAAGCATCAAAAAATGCTTTGTGCATGTATGCAATGACTGACAAAGACGTGTGTGTTTGTGTGTCAAGAACAGTTGAATGAAATCCTTGTCAGTCCCCCTGCATCGCTGAGCAGCTTGCTAAGCTGGATCAATGGCAATGTCACAGCGTACACACGTACACACACACACACGTACGTACACACACACACACACACACACACACACAAGCTTTGCGCCGTCCTTCCACACTGACATGGACACTGTCACACTCCATTTCCCCTCTCATTGAAAACACACATTACTGGGTCAGAGATGGTTGATTCTGTAGCCTCACACTAGTGTGGCATAACTCAGTAGTCATGATTAGGACACCGCAACAGGCCCAAAGAGACAATTAGCCTCTTTTTCAACTATCCTGAAATGGCCACTCATTCCAATAAGCACGGCAGCAGACTTCAAACTCAAATATTACCTGAGTGACTTGTGAAAAAGAGAAGATTAGATGAGGCTTTATTGATCACTAAAGGGGAGAGTCAGTTGACAGTGCTGAATTATGGCAGAAATCCTAATCAAGACATTTTTAATTGATTTTGAGATCATATTTACGACGCTCATTGAACACTCTCTGAACACTTTAACTGTCTGAACACAATCAATAGATAAATAAATAAATACGAGAAATGTTTTTGAGGTAGTGGTGATGTCCTCTTGTGGCCAAAATATAAATACAAACACTTTAAAAAGTGTACCACACGTGACAAAAACCTGGGACAAAACGAGCGCAACACAGGATGACACACAGTAATCGTTAAATCTTGATCATCCTGGTGTAATGATCGTGGGAAGCCAAAATCGTGGTTGAAATTAAAACTTGAATAATTGGCCAGCCCTAGTTGAGAGAATAGGAAAAAAAAGGTCAACTACACCAAGCAGTCCAGTTTGGTTCAGTGCAGTTTGGTACAGTTCGGTACGGTAAACCCTGAACTTACTTGTGTTTCTACAGCCAACCTATACCCTTATTTGGTAAGCAGAGTGTAAGCCAGATGGAGCCGTGTCAGCTATGTAATAGTGTGACATCATAGCAGCCCAACACAGTGCAGCTAGCTATTAATTAAGTTAAATGTTCAAGAACAATGATACAGTAAACAAAGGACCCTTTAGGGTCTGATCAGTACCCTTGGCCCCCCAACAGAAGGGTAGGGCGGTACAGATCCCTTATTTTGGTACCATTCCAAACTTTTGACATTGGAAAAGCCAATAAATGGGTACCGAACCGAACCGAACTGAACCAGACCACATGGAGGAAACAGGGCTTAAATCTACTAGAATCCTGAGTTCTGGTTTATTTAAGGTTAATTCCTCAAATCTTATCCTTCTCTCTCTTTTAGTTATATGCAGTAAAAAATCTGCTAAATACTGTCCTAGTCTCAGAAAATATTACAGTTTCATTTGTCAGTGTTCTGAAATATACAATTGTTACGACTACTAATACAAGTTTTTAGATCTTAAAGGAATACAAAATACTGGTTTTGAGGTTGAACGGACGCTTTGCTTATGTGTCCAAAATATGTCCCAAAAAATAAAAATATGTTTAAAAAAGTTTAAGTACATAACCACTCAATTTTGTACCATGGTGTGCTGATGCCACTGTAGAAGGCAATGAAAGGAAAAGATACAAAGTTAAGAGCCAGGTAGTCGTATTGACTCAGAATGAGGATACGCTTTTTAAGGTTATTTGCTGGTTGGCCCTGCCTCTTTTCACACAGAACAAATGATAATCTGAAACTTTAACGTGGTTCATGAAAGGTTTAGGACTGCCTTAGTAACTATACTTACATACATGAATGAATGTCAACTGGCACCAAAAACGTATTTGAAGAATACTTTCCTGTGTGTTCATGACTGATTTGACAGTCCTTCTTCTTTTGGGAATTCCTTAACTCTAATGTAAGTATTATTCTCAGAGATAGCATATCACCACTTATATTTCAAAGAAAGCTCTTGTGACCAGGATGTAACCAACAGGCCTTCCATTGCTCGTTCATTTTTTCCATTACACTAACCACTTGGAGCAGAAGGAACCTCTGAGCAGGGAAACAAACAACACAAAGTAGACAACAGGGATGGCACACTTTGCCCCACTTCTTTAGCCAGGCCTTTGAACCGGGGCACTTTGGCACAAAATGGCTGCCATGCGACTATACAGTTGGTCGACGCTCAATATTGTTGTGGACGGAGTGAGTAAGTGACCCATACAGGATACAATTCACCCCTCTTCTCACTGAACAGAGGCAAAGTGAGCAGGCTGGAACAATTGAGGAGCATTTGCACGGCCTCTTATGTAAAACTGCATGATGAAGATGTAGACGGTGGGACAATAAAAGCTTTCAACAATAAGGTTCTAATTTAAAATATTTCTAGTGTCTCAATGAGTTCCAACCTCATGCCCGCCAGAACACAAGCCAATTTCCACCTGAAACAAGGGTCAGGCGATAAACTTGAAAGGGGATCATGAAATTCACAGTAATAACCACGATAAACTTTGAACATTATTACTCAACATGGATCAATCTAACAGACAAAATAGGGGCAACAGCCACTCAGTCTGCAGTGTTTCAATTTCTCATGAAGTAGGCTTCACGCTGCCCAAGCCAATGTTTGAACTACCTCTGAAAAAAGTGGATGTCTTTTGTAAAAGCAGAAAAATATGAACTTAGGGACACAAAAGCGGCAGAGATTTGAACTCTTGTTTCTTTCCAAAGATGAGGAAATTGTAGACAAAAGTGTTAAAATTGCATAATTTAAATGGACTTAAGCCATCCTTGGCGAGCAACGCTAAATGGACTTCTTGTGTTGGCCAAAACAGTCGAAAGGGAACAGACTCTCACATGAAAGTGCCTTATTGATTAAGTTCCCTGGTTCTTATTACCCAGTCTTTTTCTTTTATAAAATCAGAGACATCTGGTGATGATTCAGCTCTTAAAAAAATCCTTGAAGATGACAAACACTGAATGAATTCTAGTCCAACAACAAGCTAACACGCTAAAGGGCTGAGCTAATGTTAGCCGCTTAATCTGTTGTTTTACTTAAACAACAAAAGGCTGAACCACAGTTTAAGATTCAATAAGCGTCAATTTGATAGTGGGAGAGTTTGTTGACATGTCACATGTTTATTGATGTGTTGGTGTAGCTGTATGGATCGCTGCTTTCTTCTCAGTAAAAATAACACGTCTTGGTAGATTCCTAAATGGTATTTGGTAGGTTAAAGGTCAACAAACAACTTGGAACTAATAGTAAACAACGACTGTGTGCTGCTAGTAGAGAAAGTCATATTTGGCATGTCTTATGAACTCATAAACAAATGGACCAGGTGGAGAAAAAAAGGTAAAAACACTGATTTGACATCACTTTTTAAATGAGTGCTAAGGTGTTCACAACATGTCCAGCAGGGGCCGCTCTCTCATGATCCACAAAGCATTAACACGATGTGAATTCAAAGACTGGGACTACAATACTACGTGGTGCAGAATCAATATGAATGTGTTAAGGCGTAGTGATGGTGGCATTATTGATTGTTAATCAAAAATAAGGACGAATTAAGTTGTATGTGTAAGTTTGGATATTTGTCATCTTACTGTAAATAAAAAAGAATTTAAGCAATTTTTATAAGAAGTGGGTCACCGCTACAGGTTGGCTAATGCTACATGAGGGTCCTTGGCATGGCAAAGTTTAACGTGTACAGTATCAGAGATGTACTTAACTCAGAATATAGCCTGGCTCAGATGTTACTGTTGTCATGATTTGTTCTGTTTAGTTTAGTTTTTCACAGTTTAGATGATTTTTATCTTTTAGGTCTCGTTCTTCCCTGGTGTCTCCCTCTATGTTCTGGTGTTTCCCTCTATGTTCTGGTGTTTCCCTCTATGTTCTGGTGTTTCTTAGTTTTTCATTCTACAGTGTCTTCAGTGTTTCATGTATTTATTTTGTAGTTGTCCTCAGTGTTTCTTGTCTTGTGTTCATTCCTTCCTCTGTGTGATTGCCCTCATTGTCTTCACCTGTGTCATTAGTCTCACCTGTGTCTTAATCCCCCCCCCCCCCGCTTACTTTTTTTAGTAAGTTTTGTTGTAGACTTTTGATCTTTATTTTGAATAAATCATCTTTTGTTAGATCTGCATCTGGGTCCTCCTCTTAGTTTTTTTCGAACCTTGACAACTGTTTACTAAAAGAAAGAGAAAATGAAAGAAAGCTCTATGGTATATATTTGTTTTGTAGTCTATAAATCATATTGTATTACATTTTGCAGCTATTCTTTAAAAAAATATATATTTTTCAATTTTCAGTGTGTGGTTTCAGGGTATTTGCCAATAATCAGAAACTATATAGGTCAGAAAATTGTATTGGAACATACCTACTTCTCTAAACCAGCTTGGCTTATAGTGCTGTATAGAAGTGTGTGTGTGTGTGTGTGTGTGTCTTTGTCACGGTGTAGTAACAGTGTGTGTAAGTGTGTGTGTAAGTGTGTGGGAAAGAGAAAGAGAAAGAGTGTTAATGAACTCACTATAACCTCGTACAAGTAAGGTTAGAACTGGCCTTCAAATGAGCAAGTCACAAGACAAAAGTAAAGGCACGCTGTTCACAAACAGTCTGGTGCAGTATTGACTGCCCAGAAATAAGACTGTCTATTATAATGTATCAGGCTATAATAACATTTAAATAGTAAGTCACTGAGCCTTACCTTCAGTTGAAAAGGATGTATCTCATTGAGTGAATGTCTTCTGAGCTTCTTCGTTAGCGTCTTTAGCATTTTTTCTTTTCTGCGTAGTTTATGGCTTATCCCCTACAATGTTTATTACTGTCTAATGTGACGTTCAATGCAACTTCATCAGCTAACATGAGCGACTGTACGCATTAAAAGAAAGGCACACGGGACTATTACTGGACTGCAAACTGCAAACTACACCAAAAAAATAATAATAAATAAATAAAAAACTACAACACGAGCAGCTGTTAGCGGACGTAGTGTTAAAGAAGAAGAAACACCGAAATGGGTCAAACTGCGTAGATGTGGCTTGTTTTCTGAGACTCTTCGGAGCAAACTTGTAATTTTCGAGTTCATTGGAGCCTCCGTAGTTGTAGTTCTTGTCCTCGTCTCACCGTTACTTCCAGAGGCTTAATTCAAAGATGTTTGCGAAATGTAAAAAAATAATGTCAACTTGTTCGCATTCAGACACTCACACACGCACACTCACACACATACACACAACCAAATGCACACTGACTGACTGACTACACTGACAAACAGAGAGAGCTCCTCCAGCTTGAGCGTAGCGGCCCTCTGATTGGCTGCGCTAATGAGTGATGTCATTTTTTTTTCTCCTGAGGAGGAGGGCTGAGAGTTAAAGCCACATTATCTTGTCTGATAACTTCCTCTTTTCATATCAGGATCATAACTTATACGTACAGAAAACGGACGAATTTACTTTACGTTTTGATAAGGCAGCCATAATTTAACCCTTTAATTGTCTTTTTTATTCAATTATATTAAAGAAGTAAAAGTGCTTGTTGTGTGCTTAATATCCCTGCTTGATAACTCTTTAAATTAAGGTCACAATATATGTTTTCCCTTACTCGACCTTATGAGGACCGTACTAAGCAAAGCATATTGATTAATATTGATTAATTAATGTTCAACATTCATCAATTAGCAGTAATTAAGAAGGTATTGAGGGCCAACTCTCACTTAATGGTATATAACCTATAGACTATGATCATACCGATGAGCGTTTAACAGTGACTAGTAATCAGCCAGTTTGTTACTCATTAGCATGTTAATAAGCAGCTAGTTAATGGTGAATATTTTGACTTTGAATGTTACCCTCTGCTTGTTTTATATGATAGCTTTGATAAGTTTAGTATTAGACTGAAGGGAGCACATTTGCTTTCCCAGCAACAACAAGTCCAAAGATATGATTTGTTTGAATAAGCCCTAAGATAGAAATATGAATCAGGCAATACTTTAGACATGCTTCAATTCCAACTTGTTACTCCATCCTTCATTGATAACTTGATTGATTATTACCATCGCATTGCTGTGAAAATAGCATTTTTCTTTTATTTGTGGAGATTTAGCCAACTTCATAATTGCTATTATTATTATTATTATGATTACACTTAAAGATAGTTGAATAAGTATTGCATTTAATAAATTTAAAGCTTTTATAATCTATTTAGTTGATTGCATAATACTGTAGGGTACATGCGTACGTTTTTAAAGTTACAGATCTGATTCCCCTATTTACTTAACTTTTCATAGAATAGAGTGATCTTTGGACACAAATGTGTGTTTTTCTTTTGGTACTTGCTCTTTGACATACTATATTTTCTGAACTCAGCTGATGTAGATTTGTACATGCAATGCTATATAAAGTTTATTTGATAGTTCAAAGTATAAAAACATGATTGTCTTTGTATGAGTTTCCCTCTGAATCATTTTGATATTTGTTACCAACACGTAACAATGTGTAAATAATAATGTGACTCATATCTGATGAAGATCCAACTATAGTTTGAAATCTTGTGATTACTAAAACGTTTCGTTTCATTGACTTGATGTGAGGGCTTTGCTATCATCCTGTTGTTTCTATACAAAGATTACAGCCTGGTGTGGTAAATGTCCCTCAGGGGGACAATAAAGTTGATCTTTATCCTTATTTTGTATAATTACCCATCTCCAGAGTTACCATAGTCATAATGTAAATTGCACTGTAGGTACCTTATATTTACAATGAACTAAATACACTCATTTACTTTTCCACTGCTGCAGTTTGTAACATGGAAAATCTTTTTCTGTCCCTCAGTTCTCAAGGTCTTTTAACGGTGTTGTCTCTAAAATGGAATAAAGAATTATTACGTTAATAAGTCAATAAATAAAGAAGAATGTTAGGTCTGAAGGTGTCATTTGGTTCTTCTACAACTAAAGTGTGTGATTTTTAAGGGACCCAGGACATGCAAACTTTTTACATCAAATATTGTAGGTTGATTTTGAGTTTTATTCACAATATCACAACGATAAAGAAAAAAATGATCATTACTGAGACCAGAGCTTGTAAACAGACCGGGTACTTTAAGAAAAGCTGCACATCCTGCATTGTCAAGGACACAATATGTCATTTGTGATGCTGGTGTTTGAAAAATGACAAACCTGCTCATGAAACTACAGAGACAGAGAGAGAGAGAGGGGGGGGGGGGGAGAGGCAGGGAGCTGTGAAGAAGGAGAGCATGTCAGGTATAATTGGTGTAAGTGGGGCATCCAGTTTCAGTGATGTCATTCTTTGCAGTCTCCACTTGATTTCGCTGCACGTGTACATTTGTTGCATGTCCTGCACTCGACAGCTGCATGTGTTGCCTCTCCATCATGATCAAATCCAAAAACTAAACTCTGCATAACATTAAAGTCATAAATAACAACATACAGTAAAGATAAGTCTGAAAAAAAAGGATGTTTGCTCATTATGCTTAAATCATAACTTACACTTGGAAACAGCAGGACATATTTTCCTTTTAAACAACATTTTTGACACTCACTGCAGTTGTCCCGCAGCTCATGCATGCTTCCAGCATTGCTCTGTGTTTATTTGACTGTTGTTGTTATTTTTGTTGTTGTGAAAGTATAATCAATCACTCTGATTGAACGGTAACTGCAGTTACAGTTCTTTCTTATCACAGCTCTTCTCTCTGCTCTTGTTGAACCCATCAACAGCTTGCTACGCCTTTAAAAGGCTTTTGGCTCGCTGGTTTACTTGTGAGAGGCTTTCCCACTAACACCTCCGGTCAATGACCTGGTAAACTTTCCAAGGAACCTGTAGTTTGGCTCCAGGTCAAATCCAATTTGTTGCTGAACATAACCAACAAGGCAGCCAAACCAGAGGCCTGTGTTTACTGTGTGTGAGTTTACTGTTTTAAAACCCATGTAAGAAGGACATTAAGTCAAAGCTATAATAATGTGTTATCCTATTAAACTGTTAAGGAGACTTCAACTGGACTGACACAATTTTATGATTTTTGTCTTCACATTTTTGGCCACAAGAGGGCAGTATATGTATTCTTGTAGAAGCAAATGAAGAAGAAATGATCTTAGAGCGCTCAGAATCCTAATTCCTGTTAACAGCCTTGTTCTGGTGTAGTGGAGGTTTCTTATATGACCTATGATCGATGTCATCCACAGGTCAACAGAGTGTAGCAGTGTGTGTGTGTGTGTGTGCGCGTGTGTGTTTAATCTTTTAAAGGGTAATCAACTCTATAAAGGCAGATACAATGTATTACAGTTGATAAAATGTCCACCTCTGCAAAACAGTTGTTTCCAATTTTTTTTGTCTTCATTTCTCTAAGTCAGATACTCACGAGAGGATTGGTTGATTGACAGTTTAGCCTTTTGGTACTCAAGAGCTTAACTGTTATGTTAAAGACTTGTGCTCAAAGTTTCCCCATTCCTTAACTTAAAACCAGAAAGTATCGGGGTGGTGGTGGTGGTGCTGTGGTGGTGCAGTGGTTAGTGTGCGCTCTCCATGTACGGAGGCTGTGGTCCTCAGAGTGACCCCTGTTCTAATCCGACCTGTGGCTCCTGTCCAGCACGTCAGTCCCTACTCTCTCTGATTTCCGACTCTATCCACTGTCCTATCTCTCCAATAAAGGCACAAAAATAAATAAATATAATATTGTCTTAAAGATTAATGTCATTACTGAGAGCAGTTATACATCAATTTAGTTGATAAATATTTTAGAGATAAATTTGCCTGTGTTGAGCAGATTAAGGTATAACTCACAGTTTTTGTTTAGTTTCCTCATTACCTGTTGGCAACATATTCCTCCTGAATCCAAAATCAATATTTTGTTTTGAAAGCAGGAACATTGTGCCCAGGTTTCATCCCTTGGTTATAAAGTATGCTTGCTGACTGAGAAAGCTTTGCTTGTTTACAAAAATCTATTTATCGCAATGAATTCAGACCTCTGTGATGTGTTTATTGCTAATTGGGAATTATTCAGTCGTTGATTAATGCAGTTTGATAGAAGATATAAAATGTACCTTTTAGATGTCTGCTCGTTTTAATCATTTTCCGGTAAAATGTTTATAAACACAAAGTTTATGTCAGGTGCCGAAACAGCTTGCTATAGAGTCTAGAAATCAAATCCAAGAAGTTGTGAGTTGTGTTTTAAGAATTGTGAATTAAGACTTATTGATTTATAGTTGCAATTAAATTCAACATGTTTGAGCACAAAACCCAATCTCATAGCTGTCGAGAAGTCATGATATGTGTACCAGGTGTCACAGTACTCACTTTGAGTCTTAGTGTTTTATTCCCTGTATTATTTTGTCATTTCACCTTCCTTGTGTTCCTGTTTTCCTTGTGTGTTTATTTATTGTTATATTCCAGTTTTATTTTGTAGTTTTGCCCCACCTGTGTGGCATTACCACTTAATGTCTCACCTCCTCTTTGATTGCCCTCATCAGTTTCACCTGTGTTTAATTACCCTCCTCTGTATTTAGTCTCTGAGTTCCCTCCTGTCTGTGTCAGTCTGCTGTCAAACCTACACCTGTACTCTGTGGTTGTGTTGTGGCTTGTTTCCCCTGTGTTGTTTTTGTTGTCATGTTTTTTGCTTTTAGGTTTTTCTTTCTTTTTTACAGTATTTCTTTACTTTTCTACACATGGGTCTTCTCTTTGTTTAAATTTTTATTACGACACCAGGGCACAATATGCATTTGAATTGGAAGTGCTGACTATTTAGAGTCCTTAACACTGAGGCCTGTAGGAAACAAGAGATACAGCTTTAAAAACCTTATGTCTAAACTGTTAACCAGCTAGTTTCTGTTCCTCAATCTAAAAAAAAGACAAGTTTGTGTTGTGGATGAAAATATAAATCCTTTCCAGAGCTTCAGGGTACAAAGTCATGAAGGCCACTGGACACGGAACTTGTGACACCACTTGGAAGGTTATGCTGACTGACATGAGATAAGGGAGATAAATATCCATAAACATGATTCTGTGTGTTGTATTTTCTTGAATATTTCACTAATCATATTGGGACTGGATTTTCAGTATGCCCTGAAATATCTAAGGCATGAACAATGTTTTTCTTAAGGCTTAAGAAGGAGCCGTCTTATTCTCATGTGATGGTTAGCTCACCTTCACTCACACAACCTATCACTGCAGTAGTTGCGGTGTAGTGGGGTTTTTGGACTTTGTTAAGTCAATGTAAGTCATTTATCT